TCAAATTGTTTTCAGCAGCGTAGACACACAAAAATTATGACTTAAGGACTAGTTATTTTACAGGGATATTTAATGCTTAATCATGTAAAAATTATGACGTAACGTCTCATATTAATGCTTAATCATGTATAAAGATTAGTTTTTATACCAAGTCATGTATAAAAGTTTCATATAATCCCCAGTGTTTAAGATTCTATTCATGCATGAGTTATCTTGTGCAAATTGACAATTTTTTTTAGCTTGGAGCATGAAGAAATAAGAAACTAGTTGAAACAAAATATCAAAACAAATACATTCTTTCACCTTTATTGACTCTCAAGAACAAAGTTTAGAAAAGGACGACTTAGAAGACATTGCTATGGTATGGACATAGAAGCAGACCCAAGTAAGCTTCAAAAATCAGATAACAATGAAACTTGTCTGAAGATTGTTGCAACTAGAAAAAAGACCTTCAGTGAATCAGAATAAGGTATGAATCAATCATCATTACCACACCTGAATCAAAAACGCATCAGTTTATAGTATCTCAACAACACCTCGGCTTACGATTTTTCCTTCGTTGAGATCTTGAAATGCTTTTCCTGCATCGTCAAACTTGTATTTACTTGAAACTGCCTTTGTTAGATTGAAAATCCCTGACTCTGCCAATTTCACTACTTTAGGAAGATCTTGTCTTGCCCTTCCTCCATATGAGCCTATAACTTTTATCTTCAMAAAAAMAAAAAAAAAGAGAGATTCAACATCATTCTCAGTACCATTATCAACTATCAGAGAGTTTCTAAGAAGGCCAAGAAAACAAGAACACAACCTTCCTACGAACAAGTCGGTTTATGTCTATTTCTCCAACGGATCCAGCTTGTGAGAGTCCAATCATCACAGCTTTTCCACCATCTTTCACACTTAGTGTGCACTGCATGAAAGTTTGAGGCTTTCCCAAAGCTTCAACAGCGACATCGACACCCAACCCACCCGTTATTTCCTGCGAAGAAGAAACGGTTATTTTCATATTAATACCAAACAGTGGTTTAGCTTCACAAGTAATAGTTCTTAATGAACCATACTCTTATCCTTTCAACAGCATCTTCTTTAGCAGCATTGACAATATGTGTAGCACCGAGAGTCTTGGCCTTCTGCAATTTATCATCCTGAACATCCACAGCAATTATATCGGAGGCACCAAAAGCCCTCGCTATCTGCAAACAACTGAAGCACAACTCAATGATGGTTAATTCTGGTCATACAAGAAGCAATTAAAACCAAGTCAGGTTGCAACTATCCTCAAATCAGGCAATCAACATACCTGGAGCCAACACCACCAATTCCAATTACTGCGATAGAATCTCCAGGACGGATCTCAGCAGCATGAGCCATAGCACCATATGCTGTAAAAACAGCACAACCTAGAATCGCAGATTCAGTGTAAGGCAAAGACTCCGGTAGAGGAGCTAAACCATGAGCTGGTGTGACACAGTACTCAGCCATCCCTCCCATACTGTACATATACACTGGCGAATCTGCCCGAAAGTGAGAAAAACTGTAATAAGGTAAACAATCATGGTTTTAAATGTTAAAAATCCACACATAGATTTGGTTCTCACAACACATGCCAGTTGCTGTTTAAAAAAGCCATATTAAGATTCAAATTTTACCATCATGTCGCAAAAACAGCCGAGTTTCGCCATCATAAAGAGTTCCTTTAGCTCTGTTAAAAGCAAAGAAGTCTTCACATAAATCATCATGTCCCTGTATCCGAGTAAAAGCATCAGCTAAAAACTAGTGTCTCAATTTATACAAGCACCACAACTTCCTCACCTTAGAACAATAAGAACAGGTTCCACAAGGCATAATGAAAGCTCCAACTACACGAAACCCAATCGGAAATCTGAAAACGTTGAAACATTCATGATTTAAATCAAAACATATGATTCCATTAGTAAATCAGGAGAGAAATCAAAGCATAAAAAGAGTTGAAGAAGAAACCTTTTTATGATCTTGTGATCAGTAAGTGGACCGTGTTCAACTACTTCACCAGTTATCTCATGCCCAATAACACAAGGACTAGCAAATGGTATCTCTCCTTTCATCACATGAAGATCAGAGTGACAAACTCCACAAGCTGTTACAAAACGAAATTAGGATTCTACAGATTGCTTCAACATTGAATATATCCCTAGATTCAGCTTAAATCCAACAAAATCCCAGAAAAAAAAAATGGAAGACGAATTGTATACCCTTAGTTTTGATGAGAATTTCATTTGATTTAGGACGAGGAATGTGAAATTCTTCGATGGTTAGTGGCTTATTAGGTTCCCGATACACGGCTCCACGCATATATCCGCCGGAGCTCACGTGATACCCAGCCGTGGAAGACGGCGGAGAGGGTTGACAATCATCGCCGGAGGATCCAGTTTGCAGAGATCTAAAGGAGAGAGAAGACCCAACGGCGAGTCTCGATAACGAAAAGAGGTTTTTAGCGGCCGAAGCGCGGCGAAGAATCGGAGCAAACGCCATGCAAAGACGACGGAGTTAAAAACGATGATCGATCGGAGTTTTGTTGCAACGAAAGAGACACTTTGACGATAAAATTTATCTGTTCACACTTTTGACTGAGAAGAGTCGAAGACCACGCGCTTGAGTATTTTACTGTGTTGCGGTGTAACTCACGCGCTGATAGTGCGTGTGGGATTGATTTGTGTCCACTAAGCATGGGGTCCACATCCACGTGTGTATAATATCTTATCTACGAAATTCAAACTATATCAGACGCGAGATGGGCTTGATGAAGCCCAAATATGCTTTTATCAAAAAAAAGAGTTTGATACAAAAGGCAAAAAGTCTCTCTACTTGGCTCTAAGACCAGGAACATTTTTGAGACCCATCTTACCAAGAATAAGTTTTGGTATAGCTGGAGGATTGTCAAGTCCCATACTACGACTAAACTCGTTAGCCAACTCCACAAGCCTGTCTTTATCTCTTCCAATCATCTTGATTGAGATGTAGTAACCCAACCAAGCCTGATACGCCGCCTCCTTGTTCCTCATCTCGACATGGCATAGCGCCTTTTGCACCTGTTCGTTCGAATTCCAACAAGGTAAGATTCTCATACCCATCAGCTAGTGAAGCTTTTACAATTAACAACTCAAAAGAAAT